TCATATTAAAAGGGAGATGACACACGATCTATTGAAAGTTAAATTGAATGAGGGATATGTGGGATTAGTAGAATTGAAAAATGTAGATATGATACAATATATAGAGAGCTCAAATGAATGAAATATTTAGAGAAATAACTTAGCAAAAGAAATGTGGGATGACTGGCTAGCTTTTAGAAATGAAACATAGTGTAACAAAACGTAGCAGTATATTTTTGTAATTGTAATATGTTAGGTTTTAGGGTTAAAGTTTGCTAGCTTTGATTATTTTGTGGGGGAATGATGATTGTATGGAGGGCATATTTTGCATAGATTGTGTGAGGGTAGTTTTTTTGGGTTCTTGTAGTTTTTATATAAAGGGGTTTGAAGTTCTTTTTGTATACACTTTTACCTCTCATGTACAAAAATCATTTATATATAATTGTTAACATTTTGTTATTATAGATGGATGGAACATCAACTTAAAGATCATAGAAGGCTAGTAAGAAATCCACCCATTAGTGGTCTTATCTTGAATATGCAATTTTAATTGATTATTACTAGGATCTTGCGAATGTTGGTGGTTGGTCTTGAGATAATGGAACTTTTAAGCTTGGTTACTTGCAATAGTTTGAGAAATGGATAGCTGAAAAGATCTCGAATTGTCAAATTAAAAGCATCCCGCATATATAATCCATAATAAAGTTATTAAAGTCATAATAGAAGGAAGTTGCTGAAATGCTAGGTTATTTTGCTTTTGGTTTTAGGTGGGATGATGTCGACAAATGTATCAATTGTGAAAGTGATGTTTGGAATGGATGGGTGAACGTAATTGAACATGGGTGTCATCAAATATTTCTTTTTTTTTCTAGGTCACTAATATGTTCTTATTATTGATTCAATCCACACGATTATATACTTATTTTCACTAATGTTTGAAATTGAATTGCAAAGTCATCTAACTACTGTAGGACTTAAAAATAAGCCTTTTTCTTATTTTGATAAGTTGGCAATTATATTTGGGAGGGATAGGGCAGCTAGAGAATGAGAAAAAGGCCCAGTTGATGTTGTGGAGAGCATAGAATCCGAGGAAGCAATAGCAAGGGCAACTTTAAATGCATTCAATGGATTAGATGGTGAGCATGAAGATGATGATGTTAACTTTGTGAACATTCAAGAAACTTTGTAAGCTACTCAACCTGTCAACGCTGACGCTGAGACATCCATTGGTACAACAAGAAAGAATACAATGTTGCCTGAGGTAAATTCGATTCTAAAAAAAAGCTAAGACAAAATTTAGTGGTATAAGTCATGAAGAGTTGGCATTTTTTAACAATATAAGTGATTTGAAAGTTGTTTGTAAAGAGGCAACTGTTGAAACTGGTAATTTGGCCCATTCTTTTAAACACATTGTTAATGAAAATGACAAGAATATGTGTGCTTTTGAGATCTGTAAAGGATTTGAATGACTACAAGGGTTAACTCATGATGATGTTGTTAGGCTTGGAGAAATTATCTCCAATGACCAGTGAAAAGCTAATTACCTCTATAGCATGTCAGATGCATACAAGATCTTTTATGTGGAAAAGAATGCTTATGCTTAGTGGCTCATTAATATAAAGTAATTACAATGGATAAGTAGTTATTAGTTATTTGCATATTAAATTTTTTGGGATTATCGTTTAGTAAGGACTTTATGTTTATTGTTTGAAATTTGAAGGTTGTTTGTTATTTGAAAACTATTTGGTGTGTGAATTATGTTTGGTGTTAATATATTAGGAATTGATTAGTTTGAATCTTCTTAGGTAAAGTTATCCTTATTTTTAAGATTTCAAGTAAGTTGTTAATTAGCATTTGGACTATGATCAAGAAAGCTTTGCTTGATTGGGAAATCTAGAATTAAATGCAACCCAGATTACAAAATCTCTGATAAAAAAGTTGTTTGATCATGTTGGCATTTTGTATGTACAAATACAATTATGGTAACAAGGCCAATAATTTAGAATGTGCTTTAGCCTTAAGCTTCTTCATACTTGGCTTAATCAGTTAGTCCTTGATCTAGGTTCTGTATGTTTTATCAATTAGGTTATTTGAGCTCAGATGGTTGAGAGTTTGAGCTATATTAGAGATCCTAAAGGTCATGTTATAATGCCCTCTTATTTTATAAAGTCAAATGCAAATAAAAGTAGTTTGTTCAATCTTGGAGTAAATAATAATAGCATTTTGTACAACCTTATTAACTATATTATTTAAATGTTACAAAAAATAAATAAATGGCAATTCATTTATGTTTGTGTTTGGAAAAGATAGAAACGACTTTTGAGATTCCAACCACAATGCTTATAGAAGGTTTAATTTGCTTGTTGTCCAGCAAGATTTGAGTGGAACATTGAAGCTTTTCTATTTGTTCATAAAAAACTATTATTAAAAGTTTTTGTTATTTATTTTTAAAAAACTAAAAGGAGAAATTATTAGTCAAAGAAGTTCAAAGACAAAAAAAAAATAGAAAATTCTTTACATAATGTTTTTATCTTCATGTGATAATTCTAAGCATTATTATTTTTTAGTATTTATAGCTTTAAGGTAAAAATAAATATTTAATAATTTTACATATTTTAATATTTAAATAATTAAGATTAAAATATTTTTGTTGTTTTTGTCATGTTATTATTTATTATTTTAAGGGGTAAAGTTGAAAAGTTCAAATTTTACATTAAAAAAGTGAAACTTTATTAAACATTATATTTTCATACATAAGGTTAACTTTGTAAATTTACATTGCATTCTCAATAAAGTGTTTTCAAACCAAACATTACAATATAATTTTTATAGCAATTACATTCCTTACAATCATCATTTTTTCATGTTATACCAAATGCTGTAAAGTTATTTTCCCAGTAACGTGCTAAACGCAATCGTTGTGTTATGTGACAAGGTCCATTGTAAGGTTGTTAGGTTTTTATATACAATCATCAGATCTTTCAAGTTTAATCTAAGCCGACGAATATGAGGAAGAGACTTTTCTTTACTATTATGGAGGGAAAGATATCATGTATTAACTATTAAATCAAATATTTAAGTACATGTTTAGCTTGACTTTTTTTCAATTTAACTATATTTTGAAAAAAATAAGTCAAATATGATTTTTGAGAAGCTTTATAAAAAAGTAACTTTTTTTTAAGAATAAAATTAAAAAAAAACTTCAAGAAAAGCTCCAGAAAAGAACCTTCTTTTAAAAATATGTTAGTTTTTCAAGAAATACCTATTTTCCTCTTTCAATCAATCGCCCTCTTCTCTTTTTCTCTCTGCGAATCACTCTTCTCTAACTTAAATTACTATCTCCCTCTCCTCTACTTCTCTCTATAAAGATTATTAAAAACAATAAAGACCCAATAACAGAATAGTAAAATCTAGGATTTTTGTGTTCTTATAAAGATTAAGAGAAAATAATATCCAAAATTCAAAGCTGTATTCAGATACTATTTAAAAGTTTTCTCTCATCTTCACTAAAAAAGATTTTAATGTTAAATACATTGTTTCCTTTTTTCTCTTCTTTCTTGGGGAATTGAAGTATCATGATCTGATTGCTCGCTAAATCAACAAAAATATAATATTATTACTATTATATAAGTTTGAGAATTGTTCCAATTCTTTATGGATTTTTTTGATTTTAACATCTAAAATCGTATATAAACTCGAAACAGACTTATTTTGCTTTGGTTTATTAAGTGATTGAAGATGGCATAAATACCTTTATGATAATTTTAACTAAAATTAGATTTTATATAATTTATTTTGTTAAATAACTTATCAAACAATTTTAGTTTAATTTTAAAATTTATTATTTTTCATAAGAGCTTCACAATAACTTTTAAACTAAAAAAAAGATAGGCCCAACAAGCTAATTTAAATAACTAAAAAAAACCTAGGCCAAATAGGCTAATTTAAATATACTAAATTTGATTTTTATCCTTAATTTTTACTTTTCTTTTTATTTTTCTTTCTTTTACTTATATAAAAAAAATTATCTAAGCCCATTTGATTTTTGTTTTCTTTCTTTTCTTTTCTAGTTCAAATCATTTCCATTAAATGCATCAACGACACAATAAAATAAAATTAGATATCTATAGAATTTAAATTACTTTCTCCTTTTTCAATTATAAAAATTATTATTAAATTCTGATTTCCATCCAAAATTATCAATTTGATATGTGATATATAGAGGTGACTATAGATTAGATATAGTATGTTTACACTTTTTAAAGTCAAGCCTTATCTCAATTTGACTTGTCTATTTTTTATTATTAAATATTATAAATTATTTTAATATATTTAAATAAATTTTAAATTAAATTATATTGAAATATATTATATATTAATAAAAATAATATCTTTAAGCTCGTACCAAGTTGAACTAGTTCTAAGTGTTTGGACAAGTTATTCGACTCTTAAACACCTTTCTACCTAAGATATTATTGGATAAATTTACCAACTTATTATATTTTATATAAAAAATTAATGAAATAAATTAAATAGACTTGAACTTAAAAAATTTCAACACTTTTTTCTTGCCATGGAGACAAGACATTTGGTTCATGATTAATACTAGTAAGTTACAACTTTTGAAATTTTATTTTCCTTTAAATTTAATTTAAATAATAAAAATTATTCATTTATCCTTTGTCGATATAGTGGTTGTGCATAGTCCGATTGGAAAAAAAATCAACTTCAAAATATTTTTTAACATTGATAATGGAATTATTTTAAATTTCATAAACAGATTCAAAGGGTTAGTCCATTTAAATATATTTTAAATTATAATAAATGATTTAATCCTTTAAAAAAATTAAAAAATAAAATCATAGAAAATGGGCCCATATCTCTAGAATCTCCGTGATCCAGCCCAAGTTTTGAGTTATCGATTGCGTGTTCCGAGTCCAAATGCTTACCCTTCGGCCCTTCCAGACCCAGCAGAATTTACCCTTCCCTTCCCTTCCCTTCCCTTTAAAAGCCAGTCTCCTTCCTAGCCCCTCTCTCGCTGCCCAACCGCTCGTCTTGCTGTTCTGTTTTTGTTGTGTTTGAGATACTTTTGTACCCTGTGTTTAGTGTTTAGTGTTGAAGGTAAAAATCTGCAGAATATGTCAAGCATAATACTTTTCGAGGATATTTTTGTGGTTGATAAGCTTGACCCAGATGGTAAAAAGTTTGATAAAGGTAGAACTCTTTAAATCTTTCCTTCGCTTTTTTATTCTTCTTTTCTCTAAGTTACTCACTGTGGGTATTTATTATTTGTTTCCCTGTGTTTCTTTTTTTGCTCTGTATTGTTTTGCAATTATGTGTAGATGTTATTGACTCAACTTGATAGTGAAAGCGTAAGTTTTATGCTTGGGCTTTTCTCTTTTTTTTTTTTGTAATGAAGTTTTTTTATTATAGAATTGGGATGATTTTTTGGTGTCTCCATGTTCATTAAGAGATCCTGGAATTTAGTTTCCAAGGTTTCTTATTTGTTGTTGTCATAATTAGTATTATTTTTGAATGGGATTAAGCCTTGGTAAATTGACTTGGAATTAAGCCTTGGTAAATTGACTTACTTATTTAGAGGTAATGCCCAAAGCTATAATAGGTATGTAAGCTATTTAACAAAATAAGATATTGTATGATGGTTAAATTTTGTTGCATAATTTTACTTCAAAAACCAAAAAATATAGCAAGATTTGGCATTTATATTATTTCATTGCATCTAAAGCTTAAAACATTCTAGCTCCTGTCTGTGTAGGAGTAGAAGTGCCTATTTGGTTAAGCTTTTATTTGGTGATAGATATAAGGTAGTTCTAGAGGTGGCAGTTCATGTTGCCTGATTTGTAAGTGAAGTATGTGTTTACTGATCTTGCCTAAAGAAATAAATAATATTAATCAACTATTAACTTTTACTTGATGAGGAGCTATTCCTAGATAGGGTTGCAGCATCAGGACATGGAGCTTCAGCGTAAGCTTCATACATATGCCCCTCTATACCCTAATCTTTCTTTGATCATGTCATATATTAAATGTCCATGGACACTTTTACTTCATTTTTTCTTGTATTCATTTTAGATGGTGTGCTCGCTTGACTCCCCTCATGGATAGATTGCAAAAAATAATATCAATCAACTATTAACTGGCTTCAATTTAGTGTTTTGTTAGCGTTTCCCATTTACGTTTTGATATATTCATGCAGTTACTCGTATGGAAGCCCGGAGCCAGAATTGTGATATGTTCATGCATCTAGATGTGAATTCAGAGATATATCCTATGCATGTCGGTGACAAATTCACGATGGCATTAGCTCACACTCTGAACTTGGATGGAACACCTGACACTGGTTATTACACTCCGGTAGTCTTCTTATAGTTGTAGTTTAACATACTTTGCTAATTTGTTGGTTTATAACACTGAAGCTCTTGCTTTTCTATATATGAACATCAAGATCCTCTGATTAAAATTTTATGGTTTTCTTTTGCTTTGATCTTCTGTTACTTGATTTGATCAACTTCTTATTGTGCAAAAAGTCACCCGCTCTCTTTCAACTTGGGGAAGATAGATCGTCGTCATTTTTCTTAACCAAAACCCACAACTGTACAACATCCATTTCTAACCCATCTTTCATGGTTTGTTAGATCTTTGCTTCGATTTTCTAGTTTTATTGAGGGAATTTGAGTTTAAAAAGAGAAGTGGCTGACCTGTGAGAAATGAGGAAAACAAATGTGGTGAATCAGAAAAGGGTGGTGTGGTTAGCTATTCACAATGCCAATGGTGAGGTTGAAGCATTGAGGGTTGGTGTAGGAATTGAGAAACAATTAGATAAGGAGAAAGAAAAAGGAATTGGGAGTTGGGAGAAGGAGAGGATTTTTGAATATATAAAATGACAGGTAGAATTATGTGTCTCCTATGCGATAGGAAACTAGAGCTCTTGATTGTTAATTAATTAACAATGATTAGTTGATTACTTGTTATTAGGATTAGGGCTTGGAGGCGTCTTAGTTCTGGAGGCCAAAGATATGGGAAGTGTGTGTGTGTAAACGCCTAGATTTTTTGTTTCTGTGTATATATGTATTTATGCATGTATATTCATGTAAAGGCACCTATATCTTAAAGATATGCAATATTTTTGTTGTCATGTGCCTAACAAATTGGACCTATATTCCAGGGGAGGAAGTCTCTTGCAGATAAGTACGAGTATGTCATGCATGGGAAGCTATACAAGATATCAGACGATGGTTCAGCGAAAGGACTTAAAGCGTATGTTTATTCACCATGCTTGGTCATTGTGATTTTGTGTCCCACAAGTATCTCCTTGTTTATTCCACCATTATTGCTGCCGGGTGGTGCAGTTACTCTGACTTGATACTCAATAGGGTTAATTTTGTTGCTGTTTCACTATGTGACATGATCTGATCTATTTGGCCTCTTATAGTCTTCTTACTTGATCTTAGAGTTAAAGGCCTGTTCTTGTTTTCAGGGAGATCTATGTTTCATATGGCGGGCTTCTGATGATGCTCAGGGGAGAAGCTTCTCATGTCTCCCAGTTTGAACTTGACCAGAGACTGTTTCTTCTCATGAGGAAGCTGTAAAAATTTTGTTATATCTAACATATCGCTTGAACTTGGCTACATAATGTGACCTTCTGGGTGGTTGGGTGATAGCATAAAGCGTGACTCTCCTTGGCAGAGACTGGTGTAATCTTGAATTTCCTTTAAATTATGCTGGAAGCAAACAGTAGTTGAGTTGGAATTGGCTGTCATGACATTCCAAGTGTTTATAACTCTTGCAACTGTGGTAATTTTGTTCATGCTATTGTTATATTCTGTAAAACTGGCATTGTCATGTAGACCAAGCCTCTGCATGCAAGGGTTTGAGTATGGTTCCCCCTTCATTCTCTGATCACCCATCTTGTTATTGATCTGTAATAGATTTGTTAATGACTATACAGGGTTGTTTTGTGCTTTAAATTTAGTAAACCAATAAGTCCTTGTTTTTTGTGGATAGGGTTGCAAGATGTTTGATAGAAAACAAGTTATATTTGTGTTGTTGCCATTGTTAGTTAGTGGTAACCTTGAAAGAAGTACGGCAGATTGGGCTCAAGGCAAATGTATAGTTCCTCTGGGGTTTGGATTTCAGCCCTAAATCCTCCACTATCTAACTCTCCCTACGGTTTACCTAGGAAGTCCATGAGGTTGCTCATGGCAGTCAGCCAGTCAGGCAAGGTGGAACATGTACTCAGTACAGGAAATGGAGGAGCTTGTTTTTATTAGAGGTGGCAATTAGGATTTTGTATTTGGTTAATTTCAGGTTCAAATCATGTCGCGTTTGGATCATTAAGAGTTTTTGTGATTATTTTGAATTTTTTAAAAATTCAAGTGTAAATAAATAATTTCATTCTTTTTCCATAATAAATGTCAGGTTAATATCATTGATTAATTTAACAAATTTAAATTTTTTAAAAAATTCAAATAATATTGTTCTAATTTTAACATTTGACGATTTTGGCATCAGTGGAGAACAAAATATATTGGCTCGACGAATAAGGTAATAAATTTGATGGATCAATTAATTTTACATAACATTGATTAAAGTTTGCAACAAATAGGAAATCAGTAATCATGATATTTTAAATTAATTGATATAATATTGATTTATTTTAAAATTTGATCATTTTGGCACTAGCAGAGAATTAAAATTAATTAAGAGTTCTATTATTGTCTTGATTTGAATTAACTTAATAAGTCTAAATGTTTAATTGATCGATTAGTTCATTATTCTGTTTAATTAGCAACTTTATTTATAAATTGTAATTTATAAGCTATATAAAATCATGATATTTAAAAGTTAAAATTAATTGATATAATTGTTTGCACATTAATGATGAAGAAAGGAGATTTTTTGGTTGATTTAAATTTGTACACTTAAATGCTTGAATATTAATTTTATTTTATATATAAGTAAAAACCATTTAAATTTTATATTAAGAAAATAACTCAATATCTAATTACTTGAATACAGTTAATCTCAATACTCATAAGTTACAATAATTGATTATGTTGAAAATTAAAACTAATTGTATTAATATTCTTACTTATTAGTATACTTTTAAATATATTTTAATTTATAAGTAGTAATTAATTTTAGTTTTAAATTAAAATTAAAATTAAATTTAATAATTTACCTTGTGATCTTTTTCCACTTTTCCTTCCTCCATAAAAATTAAAGCGTCAAGAAATAATATAGAAAATAACAACTACAAAGTGAGCAAGAAATGAAAGTAAAAAAGCCCTTCTAAAAAATTTCCCAAATCTCAAATTTCCACATGATTATTTAAATGTGGAATTAAAATATTCAAATGTCAAATTAGCAATATTATTTTTATAATTAATAATTTAAAAATATTAAAAATTGAAAAGTTGAAAATACATTTTTTGTAATTGTATAATAATTATAAATAACATTATTTCTTAAAAAATTTAAAACTTTCATTTTAAATTTTTATTATTATTTATTCAATTTAAACAAAATCATATAATGACAGTATAGATCTTTTCAAGTTATAAATTCAAGTCTTATGGGTTTTCAAATTAAAATGGGCTCGAATTTTGAATTCAATTCATTTTAGGTAATACTTTGTTTCAAGACTAAATTACGTTTGTTTCATATTATTTTGGATTCAAATAGCTTAGTGTTTTGATTTTATTTATTCAATTTTTTTTCAATCAATTTAAATTAAAGAAAATTTCAGATTTGGTCAAATTTTGCCACCTTTACTTTGCATTAGAGAAAGATTGGCCTTCTTAGAAGATTTGCCA